GGGTGTTACAAAACTTCTTACCAGCCTTGACTGACTCATGAGATTAATTGAGTGAATTCCTTGTCTCTTAAGCCTGGTTTCATCTCGAGTTAACATTTTATGCAATTCGAACACATTCCACTTATCTTTAATAGAATTGTAATTCACTTGGAATGTCTCATACTCGAGAGGCAAAGGGTTTAAAATAAATTGTGCAAGGAAAGTATCACTCACCTCCATTTTCATGGACCTTAATTTTGCTGTTAATAAGCTCAACATAATCATAAACAGTCAAATACATTGAAGGTCTCCTTTGGGTGATCCAACAACATATAACTTTAAACATAATACGATGCTAAAAAAATTTTCATATAATTGGTCATTAAGTATATTGCGACCAGGGTTGTAAAAATCCCGCCTAGGCACCGAGTAATCGGCGCCTAAGCGCTAGGCGCCCATAGGCCGTGGCGATTTCCGCCCTAGGCTCCCGCCTAAGCGCCCGCCTAGCGCCTAATTCAGCCGCCTAGCGCCTAACTCGTCCGATTACGCCGAGTTAATTCGTCAATTTCTGTCGAGTTAGTCGAGTTAACCCGACCGACTCGACCTTGCTAATTTTTTCCATTTATATGACATATACATATAATATGACATATATACACTCGTAGACTAGTTTGATACTTTCAATCTTTGGATGATTGAAGTATTTGGGTATTTCATTTGAGTTTTTTTTTTTTTTTTATAAATATTCTTTTGATGTTATGAATTATGAATTGTCATTATGTCATTTATTTGGATGTGTTATTTGATTGAATGTTGAAAACAGTCTCATTAAAATTGTCAAATTGCAAGTCTGCTACTGTTTTTTTCGCGACCGCCTAGCGCCGCCTAGATTCCGCCTAGGCCGACTAGGCCGCTTAGGCGCTAGGCGCTGCCCGGGCGCCCGACTAGCGCCCAACGCCTACTGCAACCATGATTGCGACTAGACTTGTTTGCTATCTTTGGATACGCTAAACAACCCAATCAAATATAAATAATTAACCACTATTATTGATTATAATTTTGAAATAATTGATCAACCTTTGGGCGACTCTTAAATATTTCATAAGAGTTAATTACCGAAATGGTCCCTTGACTATAGCGAAATTACTAATTTGGTCCTTGACTATTTTTTTGACCAATTAAGTCCCTCAAATAAAACATTTACGAGAGATACCCGTGAGAATATGAGCTGAACGGCAGAGCAAGCAACAAGGGATTTGGATTTATTTTTTATTTATTTATTTATTTATTATTATTATATTTTTTTTAAAAAAAATCAAACGGTATTCGGTTCAGTTCAATTTTTTACCGAACAATTCGGATTGGGTCGGGTCGGTTTTTTATCAAATCGTTCGGTATACAAGAATACAATACCGTTCGGTTGTTCGTTATATTACCGAACCAAACTAGTTCAGTACGATTCGATTCGAGAAAACTAAACCGAATTGCCCACCCCTAAAGTTAATTACCAAAATGGTCCCTTGACTATAGCGAAATTACCAATTTGGTCCCAAGTTAACAGTTGACTAACGGTCAAACAAACGGAGGACCAAATTAGTTAAAAATTTTAAAGTTGAGAGACTTAATTGGTTTAAAAGAATAGTCAAGGACCACATTAGTAATTTCGCTATAGTCAAGGGACCATTTTGGTAACTAACTCTATTTCATAATTATTAAACTTTCAATTTACCCAATACATTGAAAATAAAATAAAATCATGTCATCAATTATAAGCATCACGTAATCATGGGTAATTGAATTTTATTTAAATTTGATATCTATTAAAACTTTATAATTTGACCACTTTGGTGACTAACAAATTAATCATAATTAGATACCAAGTTAAGTGGATATAATATAATAAATAATATCATAAAATATCCACATACATAATTATCACTAATATGCAAGGCCAAATGATTTGCTTCATTTACATGGGTGGGGATTAAACCCATCACCTCAAGTTTAAGGAACAAGGTTTTAAACCACCATGTAAATCATGTTGGCCACAAAGAATTAGAATTAATCTACATACACAATTAACACATAATTAATTAACAAATTAATTTACAGTAATATGGCGGAAGCAATAAACACAAAACATTATGAAAGCATATGCATTAATACCATAATTACGAGAGACTATGTAGTATCAAAACTTCATTGCAATCCATCACATGCTTTCTATTCTTTTATATAACAAATACAGACAGTACGTACAAACAACAAATCCAATGCATACTATCAAAACACTGCACATACGAAATACTATATATATATATATATATATATATATATATATATATATATATATATATATATATATATATATATATATATATATATATATAAAGTCATATATAGAGCAACACTCGTCATCATTAATATATAAACATACGGAAATGCAGCAACAAAACACAACAATGGAAGCCAAAAATAAAAAGGATGTCTGCGTATGTATATATTTAAGGCTTACGTATATATGCAGTACGCATGTTTGCAGTGTAGAGAAAAGACTTTCCAGTACTGTAGGTAATGCAAGTACATATATATACCCTTAACAAATATGTATGCAGTACATAATATATATATATATATATATATATATATATATATATATATATATATATATACACGAAACATATATGTATACAGTACTCATATACGAAACATTCGAAACTAGCATGTAAACATAAGGGATATTTTATATAGGCAGAAAACATCAGTACATACATACGGAAAAATAACCTTTCATCATAATATGAAAAAAACATATGTTCTACAACTTGGCTCTGATACCACATGTAAAGTTAATTCTATGAACATAAGATCTTCAGAACACATATCTTTCACATACTGTATCTAAAAGGGCTCTGTGAACATACCTGGCTCCATCGTTAATCAATGAATGTTTGAGTTAGAGACTTGGTTTCTCCCTCCAAACCTTCAACATTCCTTTCTTTAAGAACTCTGATGGAGAGAGACTTTAGTTTTTATTTTTCTGAAGGTTGGGAAGAGGACCAGAGAATCAGAATAATGGTTAAAACATTATCTCTCGGTTCGATCAACCTGAGAGGTTATTATCTGAATAGGAATTGGAACTGCCATTATCCTTAACAGGCCAATCACATAATTATCTCATTATTAAACATAAATAAATATTTATGAGCCAATAGAATAGCAACATTAATAATTATTCTAACAAAATGTTGATAACAAATTAATGATTACTATAAAATAATTTAGTCACACAAATGCATTAACGGGGTGTTTGGTTGGAAGTAAGGAATTAGATGGGAAAGAAATTGTAATTCGGTGGGAAAAGAATAAGGTGAAAATAAAGTAAGAATTCAAATTACGTTATTTGGGAGGGAGAAATAAACTTTTGGAGTTGAGAAATAAAGAGGTGATATAAAGACTAAAATACTCTTGTGTAATAATAATAGTAATAACAACTAAGGGTAGTAGTGTCGTTTCCTTTATTTTTCCTTCCTCAAATTCATTGAATTGCAATTTACCCCCATGAATTGCAATTCAACAAAAGGAGGGAATTGCAATTATGTGGAATTGCAATTTCCTCCAACTAAATAATGTAATTGAGGGTAGGGGTGTCAATACGGGTCGGCCCGCCTCATTAAGCCCACCCCACCGCGGGCTTTTTATTTGGCGGGTCGGCCTGCGAAGCCTGCGGGCTTGGAACTATACAACCCAAGCCCGCCCCATGCGGGCTTGCAGGTCTCGCGGGCTGACCCGCGGGCCATCACTTAAATTTAAAAAAAAAAACATTAAATAGTATATAAACCAGGGTTGCAAAAATCCCTCCTAGGAACCCCTAGACTGTGACGATTTCTCCCCTAGGCTCCCGCCTAGGAGACTGGCCGCCTAGGCGCCCGCCTAGTGCCTAATTCAGTCGCCTAGCGCCTAACTCGGCCGACTCGACCTTGCTAATTTTTTTCATTTATATGACATATATATATATATATATATATATATATATATGTGTGTGTGTGTGTGTGTGTGTGTGTGTGTGTAATATGACATATATGCACCTACACACGTGCACTGTATTTCATTATTTCAGTTAGCCGCCTAGGCCGTCTAGGCGCTAGGCGCTACTCTACCGCCCGACTAGCGCCTATTGCAACCATGATATAAACATGTTAAAACCGCTTGAAATATGGCACCGGAAACTTCCATAAACCTGACCCAAATCTACCGGATCGATACCGCGCATTCAGCAGAACTGTAGAAGGGTGATCAAAGCTAGGGTTCAACAGCACACTCGATTTCTCTCTTGGCTTTAGATTTTCCCTCTACAATTCCCGTCTGTGTATAATACATATATAAATATGTATGTTTGCTTGACTTGGAGGCGATTTAGTAATTCATAAATATGTATGAATTGATGATTTAGTTTTAGTAATTATTTGATAGAGTTGGAGGCGGATGGAGACGGGAGAACCGAAGAACTAAGTACTCTAGGAATTATTGAATTAAGAATTGGCGAAGGATTATTGAATTATTGGATTGAATTTCTCCCCTTCTGCAGTTCTGCGTACTCTTAGATAGTTAGATCTACACATTGCATAAGAATTAAGATATTATATATATGATTTTTTTTTTAAAAAAAATATTATATATATAATTTATTTATTTTTTTAAAATATGGCCTGACCCGCGGGCCGACCCGCAACCCGCGCAGATTTGTCCGTGCGGGCTCTGGCCCTCCGCGGATCATGCCCGTTAGGCCCGCATTTTCGCGAGCCTAATTTCTTGCGGTCGTAACTCGTCCCATTGCGGGGCGGGTGCGGACTAACTCGCCGGTTTCGGCTCACTTTGACACCCCTAATTGAGGGCATCCATTGAATTACAATTCAACTACAACGAAATTACAGTGAGCCAAACGTAGTGTAAAATAAAGTTTTGGAAGTGTAGTATGGAATACTTTACCAAGAATGCATTAGAACCTTTTGGAGTGAGTGAAAAAGGTACGGTAACAAATTCTTGGTTCCCTAGATCCCTGAGCCTGACCAGAAGAAGTGCGCAACACAGCGCCGACAGAGTAGATCCCGCCGACCACCTCCCCTACTTCCGGTCTCCTTCTCCCCTGTCGACGCCACTTTAAAGGCTGGAAATTCTAGGTTCCGCCCTTGATTACATATATATGTTTGTGTATGGGATGTTGAATCCGTAATTTAAATGAGTTCTTTGTTGAAAATCTGTATAATTTGTTAAGAGTTTATGAATTCATGAATCATGAGATTGTATTTGGGAATTTAGGGTTTTTTTTTTTTTTTTTTTTTTTTTTTTTTTTTTTTTTTTTTGTGATCAGAAAAGAGGTCTGAGGCTCTGGGTAATCTTTTTTTATGCTTACTGATCCTCCATTCCTTCATTCCTCCATGTTGATTTATCAGTTTCTATCTTAAACCTTTTGAATTGTAATTTTCTTGTCGACCAGACTGTTTTTTTTTTCTTTAAATTTTTTTTGTAATATATTTGACAAGTATAGAAGGGTCAACAATTGTGTGGGCATTAGATTATTTGCGCAGGAAAATTAGGAAAGGTTGTGAATTAGGATTCTCAAATCGAACCCAATTCCAAACCAAACTGCAAGATTAAACCGAATGGTTTCATTTTTTCAAAACTGAACCGAATACCCAAGTGGGCATACCTACTTTCTAGTCTTTTTCATTGATATGCTTTTCATTTTTCAATCAGCACCTCAACTTTAAAATGATGTTTGCTTGAGATTGGGTATGGTTTTGCAGTGATTTTGTTCATACTTTATTTATGGAGTCATTTTAATCATTTGACAGGTGAAGCTAAAGTTCACTGTTCTTCAAGTCCTTAATTTTTTCCTGAAGCTAGTGTTTATTTATTGTCTTTCTTTACATCAGGGAGAATTATAACCAATGTGAGCTTGCCATGGAGAGGCATCCAATGCTTTTGTCAGTTCACTGTTCTTAGTCTATCATTCTTTTTTGATTTTGTATGAACCTATAAGAAATATCTCATATTCACATAATATGTGGTCTACCAATAATAGGGGTTCAGACATTTATGAACCTTGATATTTTAGGCCGCCTTGGAGAAAATGCAAATTACTTATTACATCCTCTGTACGAGCACTTAAGTTTAAACAGTATAGTATAATAGTATATAAGATGAATACTTGAATAGAGTTTTAAATGAATAGTTGGTTCATAAGTGCTAATTTGCTATAATAATGTGCTAATTTGCTATAGTAATCATAAGTGTTGGTTCTTACTGTTATTAAACTTGTGTTGTTGGATATTGTATTACGAACTTATGATTTTGTTATTTTGTGATTATTGATTGATTGTAATTTTGTAATATGATACATGGATTTGTGGCAATATACTTATTTATGTATTACTTTCTATTAGGTATATATTTAAAATTTTTTACAAATATGTATGCTTTAAAAGGCTTTAACATGTAGGCCTTAAGTAGGGTCAAAGCCTATTTAAATAAGCTCAAAGCTTATTTAGGACCTACATTAACAAAAAGCCTACGTACAGGCCCAGGCCAAGGCCCAAACTCAGGCTTTAGATTCTCATAGCAGGCCCAGGTCTAATTTTCTAAAGCCCGACTTAGCTTGACCTATTTCCATTCCTATGGGCCGTTTCGGCTTTTACTTAAAAACGGATAACTTAGTTTGGGCTTGGTCGAGTATGAAAGCCCAAAATTATGACTCGCCCGGCCTGCACCTTGCAGTGCCACGTAGCTGAGCTCTGGTCCTCTACTCTGAGTTCTCTCCCTCTGAGATTTGTAGGGTATTAAAGCAATAGAGCTTGAAGAGTGGAAATTCTCGATCCATTTTGCCGGCTGGAGGAGAAGAAACAAAACGATGTCGTCTGTTGGAACCTCAAAGGGCTTGTTAGAAGTCGCAAAATTCGCAGTGTACGTCACTGTTCCGATTGGTCTTATGTACTTCTTCGCCAACAACACCAAGAATCTCCAGAAATTCATGGGCACTGTAAATCTCTCTTTCTATCTCTATTTTTGTGTGTTTGTGTATTTTGAACTGCAGTTTAAGGTTACAATTCCTGATAAGAAATATTACGGAGTATATTGGATTGGATTCTTCTTCCTGTTCGTCCAATTACCTACATTTATTAAGCAAACACCTTCCCTGAAAAACCACTCCAAAATAGTTATGTTGGCTAAAATTCGTTTTTGAGTTATCCAGTCATCTAGTTTATTCAGTCGAAAACAGCCAGGAATAAGAATGTGAAGTGATACAGCAAGAGCGAAAGGGTACTGATTAACAAACTTGAAACTTTTAGTCAATTAAACTATAATAATATGAGGTGATACAGCAGATGATCTCTCTTGAAGTTCTTTGTGGTAAATGGTAATGCATATGTGTGTGTGTGTGTGTGTGGGTGGGGCATGTTTTATTTTAATATTTGAATTTACACACATTGCTGGAAGGGAAAATTGTTGAGCAAAACTTGCTGAATGTTTATGTCTAATGGCTTTTATATTTCTGTTTTACCATCAGTAGCTATAAAGAATTTTGAAGCAAGTTAAAAGGTGGTGTATGGTTCTTCATTCTTGAGGGGATTTTTAAGGCTTGTGAATTTTATGAGGTCAACTTGGAATTAAAAGTTGAGAATTATGGATTTTGGGACATATAATTTTAATGGAAATGGAAATTAAAAAATGGATTGGCACTTGGCAGTGCTGTTGTTGGATATACTTGTATATCAGTATATGTTGTGGGAATTTGGTTAGAACTAACTGTTTTGAACATGTGAGGCTTGAAGTTCTACGATAATTCTTTGCTACTTTGAGTAACCCTTTATCAGGATGAAATTCATGGTAATTGTGGATGGATTGTAGTGAGTAGGAAAAAGTTTGTACTGTGGAGCCTATGAATAGATAAGTAAATGAAGTGTTAAATGTTTTTTTGTTTTGATTAGTTACGAAAAGAAACAAACTTGCTTCACTACACACTGAAAATGTCCTTTGAATAATCACTTTTTGAGGAACAATCTTGGAAAAATAATAACAAACAGCAAACAAGTTAAGTTTTCATTTATAAAGGGATATTAAAGCATTTATTAGAATGAACCAAGAACATCTTATGCTCTTTCTAGGCTGGAAACTAATTGAAAATTAGTGCTGTTCTTGGATATACATATATAGATTATGGGATTTGGTTTGGAGTAGTTGTTTTGAATTCCTGAGGCTTGAAGTTATGAGATAATTCCTTGCTACTTGTAGTAATCCTCACAGGCTGAAATTCTTGCTAATTGTGTATGGATACTAGCCGAGGCCGAAATGGGAAAAGAATTTTGTATTCTGGAGCCTATGAGTATATAAAGAATTGGACTGCTTCTATGTATTCTTATGTGGGTTAATTACCAAAAAGACACTCACTGTGCCTCAGTGCCTACTGAACACATCCTTTGAATAGTTACTTTTTGAGGCACAAACTTGGTTAAATTTCTGTCTAGTTTTCATTTAAAATTGGTACTAAAGCATTTGGTAGAATGAATAAAGATACGTCATGTGCTCTTCCTAAGTTTGAACAAATGGAAAATTACACAAAATCTAACGTGTTTGTGATAATTGTTACTGTTATCTTGTGTTTGTGCCTCAACTTGTAGCTATTTAGATGTTATGTTATTATTATAAATTTAGTCCAACTTTTTTGTTGGTTTGTTATACTTTTGTATCAAACTTGAGTTGTAATTGGAGTTGACGAAATGTTCATTTTATATTCGATAGCACTTCAATGTTCGGTCTTTGCTTTGCTCATCTTGTGCCTTTCTTGGGATAGTATTGTTTACCCTTTGTGTATGTGTTAGGTTTTACTATGATAATTAGCTATGCGTGCTGTTATTTCATTGTATTTGAAATATTATTTGAGCGCTGATGGTTATAGGAATATACTTTTATGTATTACGGAGTACAATTTACAATCTTGATAAGTTTCTAAAGCCCCTCTATTTTTATTTTTTGAAGCGTGAATATATTGTGTATCCTCCAGAAGGACCCCGACCTCCATCACCAGAGGAATTGAGAGAGATGGCGCGAGAAGTGGGTCGCAAGAGAGAGAGGGAGAGAAACCTCAAAAACTGAAGGAGATGAGATGAATGTGGGATTTGTTGGTGGGTGGATGTACATAAGCAAAATCAGTTGTTTTACTATATGCAAGAAGAAGAAGAAGAAGAAGAAAGAATAAATGGCAGCTATTTGATGAAGCTACAGCCTCAGATTATTATTAGATGTGTTTGTGAGGTTGATGTCCCAATGTTTGTCTAACATCCCAAAATGAAACATAACTGCCCTGGGACTGTTGGATGATTGGTGTTTATATACCTCAGCCTCAGGCTTAGATTTGGAGAAGACTTTATAATATGATCTGAATGTTGGAGTTAATTAATTTACAATATGGATCAAGGTGCATGGTATGGTATTATACGCACTCAACACATCCATATTTTTCTTATATTTTTTTCATTTTAAATTTGTTTTTTTTTTTTTTTTTTTTTTTTAATTTCTTCCTTACAAATAAAATTAATGTATACAAAATATACCACTTAAAAGCTTTAATTGAGATATTTTAAATGACACTCGTTAATATATATATTTTTTAAAAAGTTGCCCATGACCTTGTGGTGGAGTAGCATGAAATGATTTTTCTAGATAGATGGTCATAGCCCCCAAGCGGCCAAGCCTTGGTGGGGGCGAGAATTGTAATAGAATAGTAGTACCCAAAAGAATATATTTTAGAAAAAAGTAAAATAAATTTGCATGTAGATGAAGTTCCGGAGTATTATTTTAATGTAATGTTTATGTATATTAAATTTTATTTTTATGAATATATAAAAAAACATTATGAACCTAGTAGAATGTGAATGAAAATAGATTTGATATATTTGTAGTTTAGTATTTGTGTAGTTAGATTTATGATCCTATAGATTAAATATTATAAAGAGTTAATTCCAGCAATGGTCTTCTGACTATTGCGATTTTTTAAAATTGGTCCTCATATTTTAATTTGGACGAAATAGACTCTTGACTATCACATTTGTTCTAGTAATGGTCTTTCCATTAAACATCAATTTGGTTGGCGTTAAGTCTCGGGTATTCAAGTCATTTCTTCTTGGTGCATTTAGTATCAGCACAGCGCTACTCTCCCTTTGAATCGCCACCACAAAGCTCCGGCCACAATGCGCGATACAGCACAACGCCCCTTCGTATAAGCACAGTAGCAAAGGTCGTCGCCGTAGGGCCAATTTGTGGAGGCTATCTAATGTTGTAACATTCCCCTTTCAGATACCTATTATTATGCTTGTGGTGGAAGTTCCTCGTGATTTCATTACCTTGTCTTCTTCACATTCCCAAACACCAGAAGCCCAGACAATCAGTGAAGGCAATCCTTTTCAGGTTGATGGTACAAGTTCTGAGAGCTCTACCTCACCAAAATTGCCCAAGATGAATGACTCTTGCAAGGATGTAAAATCAGTCTGTCTTGACATTAGTTTCAAATCACCATCACATATTGGACTGCAGACCTCTGAGCTGGTAACTACTGTCTATGGACAATTGGACATCATTCATCTGACTAGAGATGAACTTAGATATTGTATCATATTTGTTTTTATTGCTTTGTTATTCTGTTTAGTATCATATATTTGTCCATGTCTAGTATTATCCTTCCTTTTTGTTGAGAGGTCCCTTAGTCTTTATTTGACTTGACTCATCAAAGGCTGAATGAGATATTTTATCAATTTTTAATATGTTTTATTTCTCTTATTCAATTCACTCAATTGCAATGAATATGAGATCTTCCCTTTCTTCTGTTGGTGATAGGTTAAAGAGCTTACTGAACAATTTCCTGCTGCAAAACCTCTTGCTTTGGTATTAAAACAGTTTTTGGCAGATCGAAGTCTGGACCAATCGTATTCACTAATGATCTGTAGTAGTTGCTTAACTTTCCACAAATTTCCTGCAGTTATCATTCTTCTGAACTTCTAAATTTATGGTCTCCTATGCTCAATCCACTCTTTCAAATGCCTAGTTGGTAAGGCTGGAAAACAGTTTATAGACCAGTTTTCTAGTGAAGGTGTGTCTCCAAAACTGCGTTGGAAAAAAAATGCTTAATTTTGTATGAATTGTCCAAACTGTTTTGTTTGTGAAACCGAACAGTACGTGTAAATTGAACCTGGGAAATCCACTTCATTTAGACAAATCTGCTTCCCTAAGATTTGATCTTATGTTAATTAGTTAACCAGAAAGAGGATGAAATGTGCAGATTCATATTCTAACCTAGATACCGCAGATCTTCTATCAATGTGATTGACTGGTTTTGATTTTCTTTCTCAATAATCATGCAATATTCTTTTTTAGGGGAGAAAAATAATTGTTTTTTCTTCAATATTTGACAGGTATTACTGATAACAAGGTTTTTGCAGCATGAGCATCATCATGGTCGCTGCACTATCCAAGTACAGTTCCATACTATTCGATCCCTCTTGATGTCGGCTCCTTAATGTCAGCAAAGATCGTCGCCGGAGGGGCGATTCATGGAGGCTATCTCGCTGCTGTGCTGATACGAAGTGGCGTTGTGCTGTATTACTGTATCGCGCTTTGTGGCCGGAGGTTTATGGAGGCGATTCAAAGGGAGAGTAGCGTAGGGGTGTGCAAGCCCGAAATAATCGTAAGGTCAACCCGACCCAATCGAGTAAATCAGCCTTTTCGGATCGAACCGGCACCCGACTTCATTTAACGAAACCAAGCCAGCCATTTTAACGGTTTAATGAAGTCGGTTTGGGTCTTGTGTTTGCCCACCCGAACCGTCCGACAACCTGATGAAACCTAGGGTTAGATGTGGTGTGCAGTAAACGGCGTCGTGTCCATAGTTTATATATATGAGCGTTTGTACGCTGCACAGCCTTGGCCCTTTAGTCTTCACTCTCTCATAGTCTCATACTCTCATTCTCTGATTTCTCTCTCGACTCTCAACTCTCAACCTAGGGTTTCTCAGTTCTCCCGTTCTATGAGTTCTGGGTAGTGACTAGTGAGTTCTCTCAACTCTCAAGTCTCAATCTTTGAGAGTTGCGATTGAGAATCTCCGATTCTCCGGTGGAAGCCTTTTCTCTGATAGTCTGATTCTCTATTTCTGTCTTGAGTTCTATGAGTCTGTGTCTATGAGACTGTGACTTTGTCTCTGAGTTCTCTCAAGTCTCAATCTCTGAGATTCTGATAGTCCGGTGGAAACCCTTTCTCTGATTCTCTCTTCGATATTCTCTGGGGTCTCAGGCTCTCAGCTGTTCTGTTGTCCTCTTTGAGTCAGTGAATCTGTTGACTTTTGAGTCTTGAGTTTTGACTCTCTGTGAGTCTGTGGTGGAAGCTTTGTTCAGTTGTTGACTGACTCACTTGTGGACGGCTGGACCGCTGGACGTTGCTTGAAGGCCCTTGTTCTCCGGGTAATTTCTGTGAGAAAAGAAGTAAATCTCCAACCCTAGTTATTTTATTTTATTGATTTATTCATTATAATGTGAATTATGTGATATAATATGAGATTCTGGGTTGTGATTCTTTTGAACTTGTGATAATGTGATATATTATGAATATCTGAAAATGTTATTGTGATTTGTGAGTGGAAGCACACTAGCACAATCCTTTTGAAAAATTAAAATATAATCTCTATTGTCTTTCTTGTTTATGGATTGAGGACCCTTAAATATTATAATATATATTGCCTCTGAAATGTGGAAGCTATATATAGTGCCTAACTGCCTATGTGTTGTGACTGTTGTCCATATGATGAGCATTCAGAGATGAGAGACCTTTTGTTGTCTTTGATAGTTCGAATGTTTGATGAATGCCTGATGGAAATATGGAATTGTGTTGCACTTCTTAGTTCTTAGTGCTACACAGTTAAGTGTTAAATGTTAATATGTTATATGTGTATCACTACACTTCTGAGATTGTGTATTATGATTTCCAATTTCCTACTATGTGTACTGATAATGTTCCACACTTTATAGATGGACAATATCAGTATACCTAGTACTGGCTGTGAACCTACCAGTTCTTCTGCTCAAGGAGCAACAGTAGTGGAAGCCCAAACTGTTGACACAATTACTCAACAGATTGTGCTCCCTACTGCTGCAGTTCTTGCAAAGAAAAGGAAAGCGGTTGAAGCCAGATCAAGAGTTTGGGATCATTTTCAAAAGATTTCTGATAGTAATGGTGTTACTATAGAAGCAAAGTGTATCTATTGTGCGAAGTTGTATCAATGTCAATCAAAAAAATATGGTACTATATCTTTAAGGAACCACATGGTTAGCTGTATGAAAAACCCTCACTCTAAGGATACTAGGCAGTCCCTTCTGACATTTCAAGCTGTTGCTACTAGTGATGCATTTGAACCAACTGTGGGAGAGTTGGGGACTTGGGTATTTAATCAGGAAACCATTAGGATTTAGGAGAGCCTTGATAGAAATGATTATCATAGATGAACTTCCCTTTATATTTGTTGAGGGGCAAGGGTTTAGGAGGTTCATTGCAGTGGCTTGTCCTAGGTTTAAAATTCCATCTAGGTGGACAATCAGTAGGGATATCAATGTCATTTATGAAGAAGAAAAATTGAAGTTAAAGTGCTTGTTTAGGGGAAACACTCAAACAGTCAGTATTATAACTGACTCTTGGACATCTATTCATAGGATAAACTACATGGTTGTAACTGCACATTTTATAGATGAGGAGTGGAAGCTACATAAAAAAATTATCTCTTTTGTCCCTGTTACATCACATAAGGGTGAGTATATTGCAAAAGCACTTGAAAGTTGTTTGATAGAGTGGGGGCTGAGGAATGTGTTTACTGTGACAGTAGATAATGCTTCATCAAATGATTTTGCACTTGGTTTTTTAAAAAGGAAAGTGTTGTCTTGGAGATCATCTAGTGTGAAGAGTAAGTATCTTCACATGAGATGCATTGCTCATATTCTGAACTTGGTGGTACAAGATGGTCTAAAACAATGTGATATTGCTGTTAAGAGGGTTAGGGAGGTTGTTAGATATGTCAGAAATTCCCCTTCAAGGTTGAAGAAATTTAGGGATTTGGCAGAGTATAGGGGAATTGAGCAAAAAACATCCTTGTGTCTTGATGTGCCAACAAGGTGGAATTCCACCTATTTGATGTTACAGTCTGCTTTGATCTACCAGAAAGTATTTGATGACTATGAATACAGTGATAACTCTTTTAAATCTGATATGGGTGATTCTATTCCTACTTCTCTGGATTGGGAGTCTGTGAACAACTTGGTTAAGCTGTTGAAATGTTTCTATGAGATGACTATCAGAATTTCAGGGTCCCTATATGTGACAGCTAACACCTTTTTCTCTGAAATATCTGATCTGTATTGTATCTTGAATGAAATGGTGGAAGCTGATGGGGCTGTGAAACTAATGGGGGCTAACATGAAAGCAAAATTTGAAAAATATTGGGGTGATATTGACAAAATGAATTATATGATTTTCTTTGCAAACATTTTAGACCCCAGTGACAAGTTAGAATATATGCCAGCTCAATTACTTCATATGTATGGTGACAAAAAAAAAGGAAAAGATTACCTTGAGAAATTGTTGGCTGCTTTGAATGAATTGTATGATGATTATGCTGTGAGTTATAGCCCTACTGTTGTCCTAGCTACTGATTCTGGTTCTGTAGCATCTGTTACTCCTGTTGTTGAGTCTGTTTCTGCCCCTGTTGGGAGGCCACAACATCTATTGAAGGCCCAAATTAAGAAACAAAGAATGGAAACTGGTGGGAGGAAAAAAACTGAGCTGGAATATTATTTGAGTGAGGAAATAACTGAAGATGAAGGTTCATTTGATATATTGAGATGGTGGAAGGTCAATTCTGCAAGGTTTCCTATCCTTTCTAAGATTGCTAGGGATATCTTAGCTATTGCTATCTCAACTGTTGCCTCAGAATCTGCCTTTAGTACAATTGGGAGGGTTTTAGATCCTTTTAGGAGTTCCTTAACTCCTAAAATTGTGGAAGCCTTGGTATGTACTCAGGATTGGCTTAGGCTGCCAAATACCTCCATTTCAATTGAAGAAGATCTAGAAAAATTAGAAAGATTTAAGAAAGGTAAAATAATGTATTATTTCAATCATTCAATTTAAGTTTTTTTCATTGAATTGAATTCTAACAAGCTTCTTCTTATTTGATTTAATTGCAGAATTTAGTGTTGATGGTTGAAGTGCATCTGGTGGCAGGACTTGTGGTTCTACACTTCCAAGTATTCCTGTAATTGTCTTCTCCAATCTCTATACTTTATATGATATATTAATATCTTAATCTTGTATTCAACTATTCAACTGACTTTATATTCTGATGTTAAGGCAATGAAACTTGGTGACTTTAAGTTGCTTCCCTTGATGAGTTTTTGGCCCCTAACCACTGCTCTTAAATCCTCTAAAGTTTTGGTAGCTTACTAACTTGTAGGAGTAAGTAAAGTTGCTGCCTTTTGCAGTTTTGCATTACTGTAAATCAGTAATTCTAGTAATGTTATCTTATGAGTTTTTGATATATCATGGCAAATTGGCAATGATGAAAGCTTCCACCAATGATCTGAAATAACGATTAAGCTGGTATGTTGCTCAATGTTCAATTGTTCATGGAATCATGGTGATATTGAAGATTTGAAGAAATTTGCCCTTAATCCATACATTGATATGGACAAATATGCTTACTGAGCCAATATTATAATCTCATTTTCTCATTTGTTAAGTAATTATTATTGACTTATTGTTTTTTACTTGTTTAGTTGTTTGTTTCCTTTACTAAATTGCCCTAAGTTTTAACAGGAAGAAGAATAGCAGTCTAGAACACTATGAGTATTACAAATTTAGAGTAGGATCAAGATTCAGGAATCATGATGGCTTTTTGTGATCAGGAATCAACATGGCTTTTTGTGATCATGAATCTGCATGCTGGAAATCTGGAATCGTTTATTGAATCGTGCAAATCACTATGTGGATTTGTAAATCTGTAATTCTGGTTTTTTGTGAAGTGTAAACTACTAAACAGTAAATCATTCATTTTTGGGGTTTTAAGATTTTTTGTATGGCATATTGGCATTAAGGCATTTTGTCTTGAATTTACTTGATTTAGTTTTAAAGTTTTATTATTCTTATTTCAATTTTGCTTCACCCGAACAGTAGTCAGATATCCGACCAAACCGACCGAATCTGAATACTTAAGAAACCGAAATATTTAATATATAAAAAGTTAGGACCGGTTTTACATTCACCAAACCGAAATCTGAGCGGTTTAGCCAACCCCGACCCCGAACCGAACCGAACCGCCCGATGCACACCCCTAGAGTAGCGCTGATACGTAATGCACTAAGAACAAAATGACTTGAATACCCCTCTACTTAACGTTAACTAAACTGATGTTTAACGGAAGGAAGGTCTATCTCGTCCAATTTAAAAGACGAGGACCAATTTTGAAAAATCGCAATAGTCGAAGGACCATTGCTGGAATTAACTCTATTATAAACATAATTTAAGTCACAATCAGTCAATCATGCTGCTCAACACAAGAACTTTAGCAACCAAATTTATTTTTAATTTGCCCAATCATTATACTATAGACCACTAATCAGATTCATTTTTAATATATTAACCATTCATTTTAGTATATTGAATGTTCATTTTTTAAGGTTTATTATTTGATATACTATTTAAAAATAAATATTTACCGATACACAATATAATTTGTCGTTTTAAACAAAATTGAAATAAAATAATTTGTATTACATAAATAATTGTATGATGAATTTAAATAATCAAAGAACCTTTTGATTTTGGATGTACAAAAAGCAAATGAAGAAACTTTTATATGCTTAATTGCATGACCAATATAATTTATTCCAGAAATTACATATATAAAATATATATTGTTGGGCAATTGTTTTGGGTTTGGGTTTATGAAAAACGGACCTTTGATCTATAACTTAAATAATTACAATATATATATATATATATATATATATATATATATATATATATATATATATATATATATATATATATATATATATACAGTCGTTATATCGTAGACCGCGGTGCACCGCGATCAAAAAGCAGCGCCGTAAGAAACGGTCCGCTGTTACCGTTAACGGAGTTCGCATGTTTGGTGTATTAAACACCAATTGACACTACAGTATATCTAAACCGACACTGCCTCACGACAAATGAAACTGCAGTTATATCAAAATGATACTGTAGTTGTGGTGAAATGAAACTGCAGTGTATATAAAATGAAACTGAATAACATTTCACATATTTGAGGGTATATTGTACAATGAAGCTGTAATTATATCAAAATGATCATGTAGTTGTGTTTTAATAAAACTATACTGCATATAAAATAAAATTGAATAACATTTTCACATATTTGAGTCTATAAATATCGAATGAAACTGTAGTTATATCGAAATGAAACTGTAGTTGTGTTGAACTGAAACTGCAGTGTATACAAAATGAAACTGAATAACATAGTTACTTTTTGCGGAAGGGTGCGGAACGGCGGAAAACGAATGCCGTTTATTTTCATTTAACAAAACATCGTCATTTTGATGTGCGGTGCACGATATAATTTGCCATTGGTGGGGAATACCCCGACCGACATGCCACGTGTTTTATTGTTGTTTATGCAGGTTTACAAGTCGGATATCTCTAAAGGAACCCGGTCGTACCCGACCGGTGCATCACCCGACCGACGTCTTCAACTCCCGATCGATAGCCCTTAGACGAGAGAGCCGAGAAGAAGCACGTGGCAACGTTACGCGTTGACAGGCAGGGCTCGCGGGGTGAAGACACGTGGTTGCTACGTGGGTTACATGCCTGCCGGCCGGAGTTGTGTATCCGGCCTAGCGGCTATAAATACCCGCGGCGGCAACAGTGTGAGGGACTTTTGGAATGATCGATAGGCTATTTACAGAGCATCCCGACCGCAGTCAGTCTGCCCTCGGAATAGCTACTTAGATTGTATTAGGTCATTTTACACGATCAATAAATGTTTTACTTGCTTTAACTTGGTCGCATTATTACTTTGACCTCACTACGTGGAATTAGTACTATCATTTTGGCGCCGTCTGTGGGGACCTGTGCGAGAAAGCTATCGTCTGACGAGCACCGGTTCTATCTTTCAAAATGTATCCATTCGCGTACAACCTTCTAGGCGATGATCAGGCAGATGCAGCGAGCTCATCCGATCACCAGCCCACGCAGTATCATTGTCAGACCGTTGACCTCAACCTCAACCTATCACTGTAACACCTCGTGTTACGACCCCTAAAATCAATTAATTAATTAATCGCTCACCCTAAAAAGGGAATTAAAATACATTAATTAGCTAAAAGAGGGTCCACCATATTCCATGGGCCCTTATCCTTAAAGCCAACCCTTAGTCCCATAGGAAATAGAATTAGCTAATCCATACCACTTAGACCCTAATTGGGATTCTTAGATATATAAATAGGGACATAGGAGGCACCTAGAACTCACATCACAATAACTTTCACCACACAAGAATTCCCATAGGAGAAATCAAGAAAGAAGAAATCTTAAAGAAAGATCCTTCATAGCCAAGGAAATTAATTAAGGCTAAAAGGTAACCCATGTCTCAACAAAACCTATTTTCTTTGCTATGATCTCCTTCTTTGGCTCCATCTATATACCTGTGTCTTGATGAATTTCTTTATGATATTTGTGATATAATCTTGATTGATTGATATGATGATTTTGTGAGTGATCTTGATGTTAAAAAGAGGTTCTTGATATTTATGTGATGATTCTTGAAAAATCTTGATGGTTCTTGATGATGAAGATAAAATATGATTTTGATGGTTTGGGTGGGATTAGAGCCCTAGGTTGGATTGGGAATTTGTATTGTGATATTCTTGATTTATATTTGGGTGGGAATTGGCATGTTCGGGTGTTGTTCGTGTCTAGAAGTCATGTTAGGATGTGTTCAATATGATCCTTGCTTTCGATCCATTAATTGCCTATGTGGTGTCGTTAATTGCGTTTAAAAAATGTCTAAGCATGGTTTCGGGTTCCACAAAGGATCTCGGGACGTTTATTGAGTTAAAGAGTCAGTGGGGGGTAGGGGTACCCACCACCTACCCGCTGCCCGAGATTTACTGCCAAGCAGCGGGCAGCCGGCGGGCAGGCGTTTACCCGTCGGCCACCCGCTGCCCGGAGGTCCATCGCCGGCGGGTGATCCCCCACCCACCGGCTATCCGCTGGTCCGTTACCCACCCCGGGTCCTCGGCTTTCCCGTTTGATGTTCCCCATTCCCCGTGGTGTCCCAACGGACCCCGTTTGTCGTGCTTGAGTCTAGTTTGATGTTTCGGGTACCATTTGTAGGATAAAAGAGTCTTAGGAACTGCATGCTAGTGAATCGGTAGCCCGTTGGCCTAGGAGAAGAATGCATGAACCCCTTAGGACTAGTCACGTAAGTTTATTTATGCATCTCCCCCTTCCCAATGTGCTATTATGTGCTACAATGTGTTATGTGATGAATGATTCCTCAATTTGGTTGCGATCAAATTGGCTATATGGGCAGTTGGATGGGTTGAGAACCATACCGACTGTTAACCAGGCCGGTTGCGATCGGTCAGGTATATAAATATTATATAGGGCTGCGGTCCACTGTTTGGTTACACATGAGCTGCGGTTCATTCTCCTAGCTGCGGTCAGTGATTCCCTTCTTGGGCTACAGCCCACGGGCCTCGTGTGCGGATGGTCCACCGACTGGACGCGCCAGCGGTGTGTAGGGCCACCAGCCTGAGGAAGACCATAGCCCACCGAATGAGTGATCAGGCGGTGTGTAGGGCTATGGTTGGCTACGATCCACCGAGTGAAGGACCAGCGGTGTGTAGGGTCGTAGTCTCCGAGGATCTTCGCCCACCGACTGAGTCCCTCAGCGGTGTGTAGGGCTTGATCCGCTACGATCCACTGACTGTGCTCATCAACGGTGTGTAGGGTCGTAGTCCCCATAAGAGGATCACATTCCACCGACTGAGCGCGTCAGCGGTGTGTAGGGCTGTGATCCGCCGTCGAGCTTTCGGTGGTCTGTACGGTTGGTTGCGATCAACCCCTTCATGCTGCGGTATGAAGTAGGGTGCTGCGGGGCCATGTTAGTGCTATACGCACTAACCCGCATGTTCGCGGCATGTTATTGGTCCCGTGGCGCCACCAAAGTGTGCTTATGTGATTTGAATGATGATGATTTGAATGATGACTTGAATGACGAATGAATGATGATTGAATAATGATGTGGATGATGTGAAAGTAAACTGTGACCTTAAGTATATGTTCATTATAATGTTGTCTCTATATAACGGTTTATCATGATTGAATGTTTTTACCCCTACTTGCTGAGTCTATCCCTGATTTTAAAGCTAGAGTCCCTAAGTATATCTCTTCCTGCTTCAAAATGGTTTTCGTATATATATATATATATATATATATATATATATATATATATATATATATATATATATATATATATATATATATATATATATATATATATATATACCTATATTGTATTTCAACGCGTTGGAGTGGGTTAGCAGCATCATTTGCTGAACAGATATATTTGGCTTTCAGGCACAGATGAGTAGCCACCGGAGCACGCTAGAGATCCGGTGTAACAACCCCCAAAACACATGCTATAAAAAGCCTTAACACATGCAGATAACACAACTAAACAACTAGCACAGCGGAAGATTAAAAGATAACTGGGTAAACATAAATCCAAGTCATGGGGTGTTATGCCACGTTCACCAACAAGGTTGAACGCTACGGCAATATCTGCATTGTTTACAACTATCCAAAGTCTCAACAGGTCTACAACTAGATAGGCACACATGCCATAAAACCAACGGGAGAGTTACGCTAACAGGCACTAGACTGCGCATTCGCCTAGATATCACATGAAAGAACACAATAAAACTTGGGACGACGCCCGGTCAGCGAATAATGCTGGTAACCCACCAATACATGTGAAATAGCATACATAAGTAAGGTATAAGTTGTAGAACCAATTTCAAAATGGAATACATATATATAAGTGTAAAACCAAGAGTAATAGTCAACACAAGACTCAACAATTTCAAAATGGAACACATCCCATGATCACAAGAACAACACGACTCACAAAAGAGTCAAGGCATGATCTATCATCACTCAATAGATCAAAACCCGACATGCACAACGCAAAGGAATAAGACTCACACAACCGGCAACACATGCCAAGGCAACACATGCCTTTGTGACTACACACGTCACAAGAGAAGAACTCACCACAATGGCTACAATAGCCCTCGTGACATCACCCATCACGAGTTGATATGCCTGCCTTATGCCCGGTTCCAACCTTACGGCTACCCCCAACCTTGTTTCTTCTTTCCAACCATTACCTCCAGGACCCCTGTACTTCTTATTCCAACCTTTTCCCTCCTGGGACCGTCGTCCCCCACCAACAAACCACCAACAAAGCCACCAATTTCATAGTACACAAGGTACCGTTCACACACACGGCGACACACGCCTCGGCGACACACGCCTTTCCCAAAATACGTGAACCTGACACACAGGTCACAACTCCATAATCACGTCATGGCCACCACGAGGACCACTGCAATACCTTGGTGACTAGTGTCCCATACCACTAATCGTGCAATCCAGGTAAAGCCACACACACATCACACCTCAACAGGAATCAATCAACGGATTACAACGAAGGTATGAAACATACTCAATCAAGGAATGGGTCACAGCCCAACCACAACAACGATGAATAAAACAAGTTATCATCAACCCATCGGAAGGTACAAACAACACACACGCTAGCATTTAGACACCAAACTAGCATGCTTTTCAAACGGATAAACCAAAGGTAGTTTCGAGGAACACACAAGACACATCACGGTTCAACGAAACACAATGTTGAACACTTAGCACGATTCAAGACACCAAAGTCCTACATGGATACCTACCACTGTAACACCCCGTGTTACGATCTCCAAACTCGGAATTAATTATATAATTAATTCCGCCAAGAACAGTTAATAGGGAGTTAATTTCCGTTAATTGGTAAATGTGGTCCACGGAGGACCATGTACCCTTGCCTGTAATAAAGACCCTAAAAGCCTAAATATGTTACTATATATGGACCTTGGATAATTAGTATATAGGCTATGATATTAGGGCCCAAACCCTGAGCCCAAATATATATATATATATATATATATATATATATATATATATATATATATGTCCCATACCTGGCCCAGAACTCCTCTCAAACCCAACCCATAATAGTAATCCTATTACTATTATTATAAGAAGTATGTATATGTGCATATATATAATAACGCCTAAGGATACGTAGTATGCCCGTATATGCATATAGATTATACGAAGACATAATTATACATACATACCTCCCTCCACTGTGTAGTATATACACACACACACACACACACACACACACACACACACACACACATATATATATATATATATATATATATATATATATATATATATACCAAGGCCTAATCTATACGGGTAGTATATATACGTATGAGTATCTACAAGAAAGCCTAAACCACCTCCTTCTCCTCTCCCTGCCAAGAAAGCAAAACAGTAGCGCCTTCCCCCTCCCTTCCGTTTTCCGGCAAGGATGATCGACGAACGATCTCCCTCTTCGTAAACCAAACGAACGCCCTCCTCCCCTCCTAGACACGAAACAACCGGCAAAAGGAAGAGAGGCAGCAGGACAACGGCGACGGACGGCCACAGCAACAACAGCAACGACCCTCCGTTCCCGTCGATAGAGACGGACGGTGGAGTAAGACGGCTCCACTCTCCCACCGGCGTCCTCCTCTCTGGTGCGGCTACGCTGGACAACGGTTGGACCCCGGCGCCGGTTCCAGTATGGCGGAACGGTAATCGCATGGCGGTGGTCGTTGCTGGGCGTGATGTTGATGATGGCGAGTATCTGATGAAGGTAATCCGTGACCCCATGTTAGTACCTTACTAAAGAATAGCTTCGGTTAGTAATCAACGAAGGTGGATTTGGCTTAGTGGGTTGGATGCACTTATTCTTGAGAAAGTGCCAGGGTTTGAATCTTAGAAGGCACTTAGGTTAGTTTTATTGGCTGTTAACCCTTTTCACTAAGCAAAAGATAATTGTTGATAATTAATGATGCCTAGGGCTAATAAAGAAGCATTTAGCCTAAATGGAAAGGTTGGGATTAGTTTTAGGATAATCTAAGGTCCGAATCCCTTAGGGTTTAATTACCTTATTAGCTTGATTATTAAGTAAAGATTCGATTTGGTTCACAGGTCCCTTTGACGTTGTTTTGGATGGATAAGCGAATAAGGTAACCCATGTCTCAACAAAACCTATTTTCATAGCTATGATTCCCCTCTTAGGATTTCCCCCATATTCATGTGTGATTGATGATTCATTATATTGATCTTGGTAATTGATGTTATGTGCCATGGGTGATCTTGATGATCTTGAGAGGGTCTTGATGATTGTATGGTGTTCTTGATGTTCTTGATAATTATGTAGTGTTCTTGATGATTATATGATGTTCTTGATGTTTATGTGAAATTCCTACCGAATCTTGACATTAACAGATGAATGGCGTTCTTGTTGATTTAAAAGTAATTAGAACCCTAGGTTGTATCGTGGAACTCGTATGGTATTATTCTTGGTATATTGGGTGAGAATTCGTATGTTTGGGTGTTGATTATGTTTAGAAAAGCATGATAGGTTATGTGCCGTATGTTCTTGCTTTTGGATCCGTTAATTGTCTACGTGTTATTGTCGATTACGTTTGAAAGTGTCTAAGCATGGTTCCGGGTTCCACGGTGGTTCCCGGGGCGTTTATTTGGGACGAAGAGTCAGTGGGGGGTAGGGGACCCGCCACCTACCCGCGGCTAAAAGTGGCATCGCCGGCAGCGGGTAGCCGGCGGGCGGGCAGCTGCCCGCCGGGCACCCGCAGCCCGGAATAGTTGCCGCCGACGGGCAGCCGGTGGGTGAACCCTCACCCACCGGCTACCCGCTGGTTTGCATCCCAATTTGGGATTTTGGCTTCCCCGTTTGATGTTCCCCCGACCCCCGTGGTGTCCTAACGGACCCCTCCCATCGTGCCTATGTCTAGTTTGATGTTCGGATACCGTTCGTAGGTTAAAAGAGTCTTGTATATTGCATGCTAGTTGGATTGGTATTCCGTTGCCCTAGGTGTAAGAGGTATGAACCCCTTAGGACTATTCTTAGTTGTGGATGACCACGCATAGGTTTAGTTATACGATTCCTCCCCCTTCCCAGTGTGCTAATATGGGCTGCTTGTACTTGCTATGTGTTACGTGTGCATGTTACCCCAATTTGGTTGCGATCAAATTGGTTATACGGGCAGTTGGATGGGTTGAGAACCATACTAACTGTTAACCAGGCCGGTTAAGATCGGTCAGGTATATAAACATTATATAGGGCTGCGGTCCACTATACGGGCAGTTGAATGGGTTGAGAACCATCCCAACTGTTAACCAGGTCGGTTAAGATTGGTCAAGTATATAAATATTATATAGGGCTGCGGTCCACTATACAGGCAGTTGAATGGGTTGAGAACCATCCCAACTGTTAACCAGGCCGGTTAAGATCGGTCAGGTATATAAATATTATATAGGGCTGCGGTCCACCGTTCTACATGAGCTGCGGTTCATATTTCCTGGCTGCGGTCAGATGACATACTCTTGGGCTGCGGTCCACTGTTTGGTTTCCATCAAACTATGATGAGCTGCGGTTCATCGGTCGGTTGCGATCGACCCCTCCGTATTGTGAGACGGGGCAGGGTGCTGCGGGACCGTGTCAGAGCTATATGCGCTGACCCTCATGTATGGGCATGCGATTGGTCTTGTGGCGCCAACAAAGTGTGCTACATGATGAGATGAGAAGGATTGATATTGTGACTGTTATGGAAACGTGACCATAGGATTCTTGTTAGTAAACTATACATGTTTAATTGTGATTATGGGTTGTGTTTATCTATAACTGTGCCCTATGTTGAGAATTGTATATACTTGGTTATGACTGTGGATCGTGTGTACCCCTATTTGTCGAGTCGGTTCTCTGATTTGAAAGCTAGAGTCTCTTAGGATATATCTTCATGCTTCGAAATGACTTTTCGTATATCTATGTATATATCTATATGTATTGTATTTCAACGCGTTGGAGTGGGTTACCAGCATCTCTCGCTGAACAGATATATTTGGCTTTCAGGCACAGATGAGTAGACACTGGAGCGCGCTAGAACCTTGGAGTGTAGAAGTAGATAGTTTCCCTTACGGCCTGTGTGCCATGTTATGCTTTCTCTTTATCAAGGATATTAGTTAGTTAGCCTGTGCACCTGAGTTCTCCAGCTCGGGTGTGGCATAGCACCCCGCACTCTTTGTATCGTATTTTGGGATTCAATGAGATTCTACCATTATTATATAAGTTTTAAAAGTCTTGAAAATCTGGGGTGTTACAACCACATAGTTCTAGACATGCGAAACATCAAGGAGACACTCAAATAGTTCCACAAAAGAATATCGGGAAGTCAAAAGATCGAATATCGAGTCAAAAGAATCACGGGGAACAAATCCCCCAAACAACTCCACTTGTGTACCCGCGGGTAGGCCCCTACCCGCGGTTCCGCCCGCGGGTACAGGCCTCCCACCTTGTGTACCCCGCGGGTGGGCGGCGGGTGGGCCTCCTACCCGCCGTTCCGCCCGCGGGTACAACCTGTACCACAACAACACACTTCGCGAATTTCATCTCCAAACACAAATTCAAGTCCAAAACATGTCAAACCTAACCCAATATAACAAAATGACTTGAATCAAAGGAAATGCCAAGCAATGGCACACAAGAACCCTAAACACAAGCTCTAGATATGCATTTTCACAAGATAATGCATAAACACTCACATTTCATAGCAAAACACATGTAGAATCCAAGAAATCACATATAGCTAAGCAAAATAGATTTTGTAGAGCACGGGCTACCTCTTGTAGACTAAAAGACTTCACTTTGCACCTTAACAAGCTCTCCTCAAGGCTCACCTTCCAAACCCACTTCAAGAACAAACCAAAAGATCATAAAGATCCTACCTTTAAGAAAAGACACCTAAGATGAAACCAAAAACACAAGATGTACTTAGATCTTACCCTCTTAGATGCCCAAATAGGTAAAAGGTTGAATCTTGGAAGCAACTCTTGAAGTCTTGGCAAGGCCTCAACTTGGCTTGGAAGAAAAGCTACTCACCTTTTTAGAGAGAATGTAGAGCTTAATTTTTAGGAAGTGTAAGGGATAGAATGAAGATGTCTACTCGGTTAAGTTACAATACTAACACTAGGTGAAAGGTCAAGAATGCCCTTACTAACATTAGAAAATGTAAGGAACAAGGGAACTCCCTTCAAAACTCAAGGTACAACTTTGACTTTGGAATTGACTAGTCAAATACTAGTCCTCAAGTATTGAATTTAAGGATTTTAGGAATTAATTCCCCAATTGAAATAGGATTAATTACTCAATTAACCCATTAATTGAATTTAGATTTTGGGTTGTCACATCCGGAGCGTAGACTAGTTAGTTTCCCTTTCGGCCTGCGTGCCATGATTATGTATTGACATTGCTTTGAGGTTGTTTAGTTAGTTTATCCTGTGCATCTGAGTTTTCCAGCTCAGATGTGGCATAGCACCCCGCACTCTTATATTAATTTTGGGATTTAATGAGAATTCACCTTTATTATATAAGCTTTTAAAGTTTCAAAATTTTGGGGTGTTACAGTCACCACCTCATCCGGCGACACAATACCCGGCCGCCCAGCAGCCGGTCAGTTATATTCAACCAGGATATCTACCACCTGGTCAACAGTTCCAGTATCCCGGGCAGTTTCCTTACCCGGTCCCACCTCCACAGTATGGATACTGGCCCGGTCAGCCGATGTACTACACACCACCGACCGGTTATCCCCCTTACATTCCTGTGCACACGGCTCCAGCCTCCGCTCCTCCGATTTACCCGACTGTCCCGACCGAGCCGGAGCTTCAGCCCACTTCCCAGGCTAGGTGCTCGGCTCGTTCGAGGTTGGGGTCGCAGGGTGCCGAGGCCATGGTGGTACCACGATAGGCCTAGCAGGTACAGATGGAGATATATGCCCAAGCGGAGGACCCTGAAGTTGAAGCCAACCGAGCATTAGCATTTGAGCGGCTTCGTCCAGTAATGCGGCAACGATTGGGACCACAGGACCTGAGCCGGCGCTCAGTAGATTTGCCGATGCTAGAGGCTAGCCACGAGGGTTCGTCTGCGCACAGTGCGTCGAAATCACATCGTCGACGCGCCCGGGAGCCGACCCAGGCCCAGACGACTGAGCTTAACGAGACCCGAGGACTCCTCAACGACCTCCAGGCAGAATTCGCTCGGTTTCGAAACGAGCACGCAATGAGGTCCCCGGTCGATCAATCAGCCTCCTTATTGAGGACTCCCTTAACGGCGGAGATAATGGCCCAGCCATACCCGCTCGATCTACAAGTCCCGGGTAACAAGGGTTACGATGGCCGTATGGACCCTGAGGTCCATGTCAACACTTACTACGGCAACATGATGATGATGGGCGTGTCAGACGCCGTGATATGTAGGGCTTTTTACTCCACGCTTTCCAGTCGGGCGGCGGAGTGGTTTCGAACGTTGCAGCCGGGTTCCATCTATGATTTTCCCACCCTGGCGATGAAATTTATGCGGAAGTTTGTTACTTCCAAGATAGTGAGAAAGCCCTACATGTACTTGGAAAAGGCCAAGCAGCTGGAGGGGGAGAGCTTGTCCGAATTTCTGGTCAAGTGGAAAGCCGCGGTCGGGGAGGTTGAACCGATGGATGATCTTACCGCCATCCATATGCTCCATATTTCCCTCCGGGCCGGCTATTTATATCAAGACTTCATCTTCCATCCCCCGACCACGTACGAAGAGGCCCTCCGAAGGGTGACGGATTACGCTAACGCCGGAGAAGCGAATGCCGTCAAGAGATCGCAGGTAGTCAGGACTTCATCCCGCAAACCCACCAGTTGGGCGGAACATCGATCGGGTGATGATCATCCCCGACCCCGCACCCAGCCTGGCGAGTTTACGGCCTTGAACCGATCTGCAGCGGAAGCCATGCAGTACGCTCAGTCCTGCAATCTTATCCGCCTCCCTCATCCCGGACAAGACGGACCGGACAAGTCTAAGCACTGCGCTTATCACCGTTGTGCCGGGCATGACACGGAGGAGTGCACACACTTAAGGCAGCTATTGGAAGATTTGCTGAGCCTGGGAAAGCTGAATAAGTGTGTGGGTAAAAGGGAAGAGACGAAGAAAGATACCGATCGGGGAGATCACAGGCGCTCTCACCACCGCTCAGATCGGTTGGATCAGGACCGCAGGGACCCGGAACCTCCATCTAGCAGCCGACCGGCAGGCAAACCAACCATCCATGTGATTTTTGGCGGTTTGGAAGACGCCTCCTGACCGAGGGAAAATTGCCCGGTCGCGATCGTAGACTCCCGTGATATCGGGAAAAGGCAAAAGATGGAGCCTATAACCTTCACCTTGGAGGATCAACCTAACAGCGGTGACCACGGATTGGAAACCCTCGTGGTCACGGTTGACGTGAACGGGACCGATGTCCACAGAGTCATGGTGGATACGGGAAGCAGTGTTAACGTCCTTTATTTGGACGTGTTTGAAAAGCTTAACTTGGACAAGAGCGAGCTGATTCCGGTCGGTGTACCCTTGTCAGGATTCACTGGGGCCCTCATCCGCCCCGAGGGAAAAATCACACTCCCGGTCGAAATCGGCACCCCGCCAAAATCTGTTAAGACCGAGTTGGAGTTGGTTGTGGTAAATCTGCACTGCGTCCACAACATCATCTTAGGCCGACCCGCTATAATGAAGATCGGTGGGATAATTTCAATGCCCCATCTATGCATGAAATCCCCCACCCCAAACGGGGTCGGTGTAGTTCGCGGAGATGTTCAATCCACGAGGAAATGTTACACCCAGGCCTTCAACAAACGTGATACTGGCACATCTTCCTGGGTGAACACGATCGTGAAGGAGGCAACCAGTGACCGGAAGGAACAACCCGAGCCTTCCGAGGAAATTGAAGAAGTTCCCCTGTCCGAGTATCGACCGGACAGGAAGATCAAAATAGGACGGGCCTTTACCCCCGAACTACGATCAGAAGTGCTGGCAATCCTCTGGGAGTTTGCCGATATCTTTGCGTGGGGGCCCGAGGACATGCCCGGGATCGACCGTACAGTCATCTGACACAAACTTTCCGTAGATCCCGCGGCCAAGCCGGGCGTCCAGTAGACGCGGCACTTATCTTCCGATCGCCGCGAGTTCGTCAGAGAAGAGGTCAAAAAGATGGCGGCGATCGAGCACATCTGACCGGTTATCTATCCCGAGTGGGTGGCTAACATCGTTCTTGTTCCCAAGCCCCCAGCATGGAGGATGTGCATTGACTTCACTGACCTCAACAAAGCATGTCCGCTCGACCCGTACCCACTCCCGAGCATTCATCAAATGGTCGACGAGATGGCCGGGGCCGAGCTCATGAGCTTCATGGATGCCTTTAAGGGTTATCACCAGATAATGGTGCACCATGAAGACGAGAGTAAGACAACCTTCGTGACCCCGGATGGGCTGTATTGTTACCGAGTGATGCCGTTCGGCCTTCGCAACATGGGAGCAACATATCAGAGGATGGTCAACATGCTCTTTGCGGATCTTTTGGGCCGAACGATGGAAGCATATATAGATGATATGCTGGTCAAGAGTCGGGACCGATCCGACCACACTCGGGACCTCCGGAATGCTGTCAGATTATGCGGAGGTACCAGTTGAGATTGAACCCGACCAAGTGCACATTTGCGGTTCAAACGGGGAAATTCCTCGGCTATATGATGACCAAAAGAGGGATCGAGCCCAACCCGGCCAAGGTCAAAGTTATTCTGGATATGCAACCCCCCACTACCGTTCGGGAGGTGCAACAACTGACCGGTCGGTTGGCAGCTTTAAGCCGTTTCCTCTCCAAGCTAGCCGAGCGCGCTTTACCATTCTTCAAGGTATTGCGCAAGGTGAATGAATTCGTCTGGAACGATGAATGCCGAGCGGCTTTCGATGAGTTGAAGGAATACCTCATGTCACCCATCGTACTATCGAAGCTAGAGCTCGGGGAAGAGTTAGACGTGTACCTCGCCGTATCCGATTGAGCAGTAAGCGCAGTTTTGTGCCGAACTGATCCGGAAGGGGTCCAGGGACCGGTGTACTATGTGAGTCATGCGCTCCATGGTCCCGAGTTCCGGTACTCCCGGCTAGAAAAGGTCGTCTATGCTCTGTACATAGCCGCGAAGATGTTAGCTCCCTATTTCCAAGGTAGAGCCATTCGAGTGTTGACCAATCAGCCGATCGGCCTAGTTCTCTAAACCGCTTCTTCTTCAGGGCACTTAGTTAAGTGGGCGCTCATGCTGACTCAGTATGCCATTGAGTACCGACCACGACCAGCAACAAAGGGTCAAGCGTTGGCGGACTTCTTGGTTGAGTGCACCGCTCGGGAGATCCGTCCCCCGGAGGTTGAGGACCCCGAAGCGGCGTGGTGGTCGTTGGCCACCGACGGATCAAGTAGCAAGAAAGGAGCAGGAGGAGGGGTCGTGGTCACGAGCTCGGAGGGTTTCAAGGTGTACTTTGCATTGATGTATCAGTTCCATCTGACCAACAACGAAGCCGAGTACGAGGCCTTTGTCAATGGCCTACAGTGTGCTCGGGACTTGGGGGCTGATTACATCCGGGCTCAGAGAGATTCGACACTTGTGGTCGGGCTGGTCCTGGGTGACTATGAAGTGAATGGTGAGCGACTACAAGCTTACTAGTACCTAGCTATGGAAAAGCTCACTTTGTTCCGGGGGTACACCGTTCGACATGTTCCCCGACTGGATAATGCTGACGCGGACATTCAGTCCAAGTTAGCTCAAGATGTCCCGGAACATATGTTGAAGATTGCTCGGATCTTGGTGATCCCGAGGCATAGCATCCATCGATTGCCGGTCGCACCCATCCAACCGGCGGAGGACACATGGATCACAGATCTGATAGAATACCTCGAGCACGGTCGGCTCCTAGACGACCCCCAACGTGCTCGGAAGGCCAAGCTCAGAGCTCCAAGATTTCAGGTACAAGACGGTCGTCTGTATAGGCGGTCGTATGGAGGCCCGCTCATGCGTTGCTTGACCGCATTTGAAGCTGATTTGGTTATGAAGGAATTGCATTCGGGCATCTGCTCGTCACATCAAGGAGGCCGATCGCTAGCTCGCCGTATCATGCTGATCGGGTATTACTGGCCGTCACTTCAGCTAGATTGTGAGAAGCTCGCGAGGGGGTGCGAGACATGCCAGTTGTTCGCAAGGATGCCCGGACGACCGGCAACGTTCTACCAGCCGGTCACTACTTCAATCCCTTTTGCAAGATGGGGGGTGGATATTTTGGGGCCATTCCAGCAACTATCCGGATGGAGGAGGTTCGTCATTGTCGCCATCGACTATTTCTCCAAGTGGATCGAGGCCGAGCCATTAGCCACGATCACTTCTCAACAGTGTGCTAGGTTTCTTTGGCGCAATGTCATTTCCCGTTTCGGCGTGTCCGTGCATCTCATCAGCGACAACGGCCGTCAGTTTGTTAGCCAATACTTTCAGAACTTTCTTGCCACGATCGGGACAACCTCCATCTGGTCGTCGGTGGCTTACCCCCAGGGAAATGGACAGATCGAGAACGCTAACCGGACAATTCTGGAAGGTTTGAAGAAGAAGTTTCACTCTGTCGGTCGTAGCTGGGCCGATGAGCTTCCCTATGTTCTCTGGACTTATCGAACGACCCCGAGGGAGGCAACTTTGGAGACGCCGTTCGCCCTAGTCTATGGGGCTGAGGCTCGTGTCTTGATCGAGGCATGGATCCCGACCGCTAGGGAGCTATCTTACAACGCTGAGGAAAATGAACACTCCATGGTCGTGGATCTCGACAAATTTGAGGAGAAGAGAGAGCTAGCCGCTCGGTGTATGGCCGAGTATCAGAAAAGAGAGAAGAGCTCGAAGGATGTTTGGGTCAACCCTCGGTATTTCTAAGTCGGAGACTATGTTCTACGCCGTCGAGAGGCAAGTCAGCCTTTAGAAGGTTGGAAGCTAGCACAAAATTGGGAAGGTCCGTATGTCATCACGGCCGTCATGCGGCCGGGAACCTACCGGTTGGAAACAACGACCAGGAGACAGATCGAGGGCACGTGGAACTCCGAGCACCTCGTCCTGTTTCGGCATTAGTCTTTGTAATTTTAGATGGAGTGGGGGCTTAGACCTGTGAGTGGGCCCGTCCATCATTTATCGCTTGTATATTTGTAAATTATACCGTCTGCGAACGGGAGTTATTAATGTATATACGATCGGTGATTGCTCGACCGTTTGCATACGGCGGCTAGATCGGTTACTTTAAATTGCTTAAGCATGAAGTAGGTTATTTTAAATTTGCTTCACCAACCAGTCGTGCTCGGAATCTACCCGATCGAGACTCGGCACCAGCGAATGAAGAAGGGCCTTTCGCCCCACACAACACCTCTCCCTCGGTCCCGACCGATAGGGGTGTACAGCTAATTGGCTCTGATAGCCATCTACCAAATTGGCTCTAATAGCCAACTACCACTTGGCCGGTCGAATTCTAACGACCGACTATAGCGCTCATCTTCGGCGGACGCTCGGGTCACGCCATCGATCGGGGAAACCAGAGCTACATCAAAATCTCCCCGATTTGTCCAACTTCTTTACACTATCGCACACACTCGTGCCTTGTGTGCAAAACAGTGTGGGGGCTAGGGTGAAGGAAGGAAAGCACAAGGCAAGGCGATCGGGAAAACCCTAAACGGACAGGACAAAATTTTTTTTTTCGAGTTTTCGGAAGGTCAAAAGGCCATTGGGTCGGGACACGCACGACCAGGCCATTAGGCCGAATGGTTGGGCAAAGGACGACCGGCATACAAACAAACAAAAGTAAACGCATAAAAAGTAAACCGGACAAGACAAGTTGAAAGAAAAAACTTAATTTTATAAATCAAAATGTGCCCGGTACAGATCGGGACCGGGCTCCCGATGGAGTTCATTTTACAAAAACGAAGAAAGCTAGTACACGGCCGGAATCTACACGACCTAGAGTACTTCTTCGCAGCATCGCTCGGCTCCGCTACATCCTCCTCGGGATTGAACGGCGGCGGGCCGGGGTCGGCGACTTCATCAGGGAGGGTCGTCCAGAACAGCTGAAGGTCCTCACCTTCGAGGACTTCCTCCATGATTGTTTGCGTTTTAACACGCATCTTCTGCTGGCCGGATTTGAACGCCCAGCGCCCGAACGCCCATATCAGCGCTTCCCTAACCTTAGTCTTCCGGGTCTCACGGAGGAACTTTGTGCCTGATGCCTCGTCCCGGTAGAGAAACTGCACCAAATCGCCAAGGTTCCCCAGTCGGGCCTTGAGATCCGACACCTCCCCGAGGGCTTCCTTGGCGTCCTTCTCGGCCAGCTCCTGGGCCCCCTTTGCTTCCCGGGCGGCCTTTTCCGCCAGTTCCCGACCCTCCTTAGCTTTCTTCAGCTCAGCTTGGAGGTTGGTAATCTCCCCCAATCGCCGGTCGGCGACCTTCTTTAATGCATCAGCCTCATTGGCCAGCAGCGCTCGACGTTGGAGGAGTTGGGTTGCTCGGGATATCTGTAAAAAAAGCGGTCGGGATTAGCCCGAGCAAAGACAGTTGTATGAAAATATGAAGATGAAAGTTTTTATCTCGACCAGATCTTGGCCAATCTTCTCGACCACCTGGGTCGGGGTCAGCTTGGTCATATCCTCCCTGACCGGCTCGGAATTGCTGATCCGGGTGAGGACAGACGCATCGCCCGTGATGGCCCCGACCAGGGGGGCTCGGGCTGCGCTGGTTCCTTCGGCGCTTCAGTGCGCTGCCGTCTTCGGCGTCCTTCTCGGACGCCTTCTCCTTGCCCTTACGGGCAGTCACCCGGGAGACCAGGACGTTAGAAGCATCGACCACATAGCCTTCGGCTGTGGTGACGGTTGTAGATGCGCCTATCGGCCAGGCGACCGGGATTTGTTGTTCCCCGGATGGCTTGGCTTTGGTCTTCTTCTTCCCGAGCGTGATTTTGGCTCGGGGGGCTCGGGGTGCTTCCTCTTCTTCAAAGCCTTGCGCCATTTCTGCAAGCAAAAAACAAAATGTTAGAGCGGGGTCGGAGTGTGATCGGGGAGTTAGGGTCGGGGACGATCAGTTAGTCTTAGACATTCGTTCGCTGGCTCGACCCGAGTAGCCGCCCTCGCAATCGTCACGCCCGTTGGCTCAGGCACGTACTTCTCTTCGAGATCGTACCGCGGCGGTGGCAGTCGGGCCTCATCATAGCTCTCTCTCGAGCGGAAGATCTTGTATTCATGGATCTCGCTCGAGATCTTGGAGACGGCATCCTGAAGGGCCTTTGTCTCGACCGGCGTAACTTGCTTCCTATAGTGAGTACTCCACGTCCTCTCAACCGGGAGGATCCACGGGTCGTACTCGACCGAGAAGGTCCTATCTTTCAAGCCCTTGTTGTTCCCGGGCAGGTGCTCGATCGTGCACAGATCCGTCCGGGACTGGATCATCAGGAATCCGCCTCTGTACTTGGCCGGTAGGGTCTTCACCTGGTAGATGAAGTTGAACAACTCCATCGTACATGCGACCTCGTGCCGAGCACAGATTTGTGGAATGCAAGCCAAAATCCTATGCGCGTTCGGGCAGATCTGGGCCGAGACCACTCGGTAGTAGCCCAAGAACGCGGTCAAGAGAGCGGAGAAGGGGAACTGGATCGGTGCTTGGAGTGAGTCGTAGTGCATCCCGATCCATTTGCCTTCGTGGCACTCGATGATGTTTCCCAGATGCCGTCGGGTGTCGAAACGAACCCGACTGGTGAGCATGGCGGAAATCCTCGCCGCTTCCCCCGACGTCAGCAGGCTCTCTTGCTGCTCGACGCTCTCGCTGTTCAAAAATACGAACTCGCCATCAGCCGGTGCTGACGGGGCAGCCGGGTCTTCCTCGACCGACTCGGGTGTTGCCTCCCGATCATTAGTCGGAGGTGCTGCCTGAGGGTAATCCCCAATTACCCGGGTCGGCGTTTCCCGAGCAGCTTCGGTCGAAGAGCGTTGTTCGCTCGTTGAAGCCTCGTCGCTTCCGCTGCTCGATCCGCTTGAGCTAGATGACCCCTCCAAGCTAGACGACCTTTGTCGCTCGGAGGTTCTTTGTAGTCTTTGAACGACCTCTGGTGAAGATGCCTCGACATCTATTTCTTCGCTAAGTCGCTCGACCGCATCATTGTAGTCCGCGCCCGAGATATTCTAGCTGTCTGTATCAGACATGCTGTTTTCCTAAAGGGTGGTCGGGATATTGTTAGGGTCGGGTACGACCCGGTCGTGGTCAGTTAAGGCCCGTAGTCGGCCATTGGGAGGTAATGTAAAGCAAAAAAAGTAAAAAGCTAAAGGAAAGAGAACTTACCAAGTGATTGCAGTTAGCGGAGAATGTTGAAGTGCTGGTTGCTCGACCGACTCTTGAAGTTGCTTGCTCGGGATGCTTCGATCGAATTAGAGGGTTGATAGAAGTTCAAATGAATTTCATGAGGGCCTATTTATAGGAGAAAATTTGGGCGGGAAACGGCCCACTTGCGCGAGGTGACCGTTCCGGACTCTGAGGCGCGCAGAAGCTGACGCGTGGCACGACAGAATGACAGCTGTCCGGTCGGGTTTGCGGCGGACGTTTGGACTTCTTCATCCCGTCCCATTTTTTCCAGGGCGGTTAAAAAGGCCCGGGCTGGGGGGCTCTTGGTAGGGAATACCCCGACCGACATGCCACGTGTTTTATTGTTATTTATGCAGGTTTGGAGGTCGGATATCTGTAAAGGAACCCGTTCGTACCCGACCGATGCATCACCCGACCGATGTCTTCAACTCCCGATCGATAGCCCTTAGACGAGAGAGCCGAGAAGAAGCACGTGGCAACGTTACGCGTTGACAGGCAAGGCTCGCGGGGTGAAGACACGTGGTCGCTACGTGGGTTACATGCCGGCCGACCGGAGCTGTGTCTCCGGCCTAGCGGCTATAAATACCCGGGGCGGCAATAGTGTGGGGGACTTTTGGAACGATCGATAGGCTGCAGTCAGTCGGCCCTCGGAATAGCTACTAGGATTGTATTAGGTCCTTTTACACGATCAATAAAAGTTTTACTTGCTTTAACTTGGTCGCATTATTACTTTGACCGCACTACGTGGAATTAGTACTATCAGCCATATATATTGAAGATGGTTCACGCAATCATTATTGTGTGGACTATGGTCCATTCAAGTTGTGTGGAACATATTTTGTATACTATAAAATAATGTACATTCAGTACAAAAATAATGTACATTCAGCACAAAAATAATGTACATTGTATTCAAGAGATGTACATTATTTTCGTACTGAGTGTACATTATATTGTATAATGTACATTCAGTATATTAAAAATGTACTTTTTGTTATGGTCCACGTGCGAAGGCTCTCTCAACGGCCCCGGTCCGACAGAGTATTTGGGAGGATGTAAATCATGGTGACTCACACCCCGACAGAGGCTAGACCGATGCTCATTGCGCACAAGAAGCCCCCCTCACTTTGAGAGGTTGCTCCCACACTGCCGCTGGTGAGACTCGATCCCTGGTCATTATTCCAAAGTTTCCCCTCTATGACCAGTTGAGCTACCCATGCGGGCTTAAACTGCTACTCTTGAATGAATATATGGTTGCATATGTTATACGTCAAAGTAAGCATTTAAAAAGAACGTGTTTATGTCATGCAAATAATCAACTGTCTTAAACTGATACATTTTAAGATATAAAACTACGCACCTTAAGTTATAAAACCACGCACCTTAAGTTATAAAACAATGCACCTTAAGTTTAAACTTATGCACCTTAAACTAGAAATGTGACGCACATTAAGCTTTAAATATACGCACATGCATTAAGAAGGAAAACGACACACCTTAAGTTATGGAAAGATGCACCTAAAGCTTTAGACTAATGCACCTTAAAC